CGTTTAAGATGATGAAGGACTGTTTCATATCAGCATGAATGAAACTTAGACGAGGTCGAGATGAGAATACTTTTTGGGAAGCATGTTTGTGAAAATGTAATGGAAGAATGAGGGAAAATTCACTTACCAGTCCTTCGAAATAGGATAGGTACAGCCCATATTGCACGAATCCACCATCTTATTCTGTTAAGGCCGACTTGAAAAAATGTTTGTCACACATTTATGGAAGGAATAGAATCCAGCTCAGCACGAACAAGTCAGAAGATTCATCTAAACCCAAGTACCCCAAGTATTAGCATAGGCAGTCCTGGCTCGTCGGCGCAAACATGCCTCCAAGATACATTATGTACCGGTGTTGCTAGGGCAATAATATATGTATAGTTCGCATCTAAAGTAGTGAGTATCAGCCAAGCAGGCGCAGATGTTGACAGCTGACATGAAGAGAGTGGACTTGAAGTGCATTGACAAATTTTACTTCAAGGTGAGAACCTTCAGGAAGTGGAGTAATTTTGCGAGGAAGGTTCATCTCAAGCGAAGATACCAAAAGAAGAGATGAAAGACCCTGTGCCTGGGCCATAAAGATGGTCCGCACTGACAAATAAGTCGTGTATTGTGAGCTTCGAATAAAGCCAACTGTTCAGAAATGTCTGACTAATTTTGTGCTTATCCGCCATTTTGGTTGCTCCAAAGAAAAACTGGGTTTCAAAGATTCCCTCAATAATTTGGTGGGACTTAACTTTGCATTTAGAAGGAGAAGTTGACCTCAACATAAATCGCAACGGGATGGTGAAAACAAGTCCTAGGAGCACCGAGCAGTGTGCATTCAGCTCTTGTCTGTCTAGTCGGCATAAACGTAATCATATTTTTAGAATGAATTGGTCCCGAAGCTACCAATAGATCTTGGCATCACCCTAGGTTGAATAAGGAGATAAAAGAATGATAGTTGGATTTCCTTATAATCATAATAATAGGCTTCACCTATCCATTGGATTTAGCATACCCTTGCTTAGAAAAAGGTACATTTATCCTGCCTGGATTGAACAAAAATTTCGACACATTAAAACTATATGGGATGCGGTCACCCTAATTCGTTTAAGGTGATGAAGGTGGTTGAATTTTTCCGCAATCATATGAGTAGACATTCTAATTCACACAGGACTGGACTGCAGTTGCAACCTCACCTGAACCGGTCTCAGCAGCACATCTAGCGGGACTCGAACCATAAAAATGCAGCGTGTAATCTTAACACGTTGACCACTACACCACACTGCCACGTGTATCCTCGAGTCACAGGACAAATGTGAATTTCAAGTAAGGTTAGACATTTTGCCAAATCACATTCTTCTGTTGGATTTCCAATGAAACAAAGTTTTATTTTCTATAGCAATCGATTACACTATTTATTTTTCATTTATAAGAAGGCTTTAGAGACCACAAGAAGATAATAGAGATGGTTAACGTGTTGAGATTATACGTTGTATTCTCATGGTTCGAGTCTCGCTGGTGGTGTTGATGAGATCAGTTCGGGCATGGTCGAAACTGCAGTCCACTTCAGCCTGGGTAAGAATACCTTCAGGGAAAGCATGGTTATGTGAAAATCCACATAAACGTAAGATTTACTCATATTATTATGGAAAAATGCAATTGCCAGTCAATTTATTACCCTAAGCGAATTATGGTGAATACATTACATATGAAAATGCATAAGTTTAGATGGAGAGGGGATAGATAAATGCAGAAATATATATTCTGTATATTTCTATAATTGCGTATTTTCATTTCACACACATATATATATATATATATATATATATTCCAAATGCTATATATAATAAATGAAAATACGTAAGCATAGATGGAGATGGAATAGGTGAATAAATATATATATTCTGTATCTATCTATCTATCTATCTATACTTGTGCATTTTCGTTTCGCATATAATGCATGTGGGACAAGGCCGGAAAGTCTTTTTGACTTGGTGTCAACTTTAGACTTTTTGGAGAAATGAGGATGTTTCTTCGATTGTGTCATCGTGAACGTCGTGAAAAGCGGAACGGCTGCAGAACAACGGGACTTGGCCGTCGTTTTTCGGTGAGATTGTCGTACGAATCTTGTGATCATGTAAATGAGTAAAGTGAAATGAAAGTTCCCACAACAATTTCTTGAAATTCAGCCATTCTTTATATCTCAATTGAGCATCTGCCTACCGGCCATGGCAAGTAGAGGTCGATCTTCAGCTCGGACGCCTCCTCCAGACCATACGAGAAGTCGGACAGGCCCCAATGGCCCGACCATGCCTGGCCGTAGACGCAGGGGCCCGGATATGGTCGAGGATCGAGTAGCGGCACCGTCACGGCGTAACCGTCAAGACAGACGCGAAACTCGAGGCTGCAGATGGTTCGAGCGCAGTCGTCCTCTCTCGTCGAGTCCCCGACGTCCGGCGTCTCCAGCCACACGTCGTGCTCATCTGCCAACCTTGCTTCTTCCGACGCCGATTGGTCCGACCTCCGTCGAGCTTCGAGGCGACCTTCGACGGCTGGACCACCGCAGCATGAGCCATCTCTGCGTCGGCGTGAATGACTCTTGAAATCGGCAATTTTAATCAAGAAAGCACCAAAACGACCGCCAACCATCGGCCGACCTCTGAGTGCATCGTGCTCGCCGTCGCTGACCAGCGCCGCCGCTGTCGCCGTCGCCGTCGCAGTCGCCGTAGCCGTCGCCGTCGCCGTCGCCGTCGCCAATGGCGAAGGAGGCTGACCGAGGAGGCCGAAGACGAGGAGCAGCAAGACGGTTTGACTGTGAGGCGTCGAACTCTGCCTCGTCGAGCCTTTTGGGCTGACCATTCGGCCGAACTGAGGCTGTGTTGAGGGATGCCCACGAGCCTATCGGAACGACGCCGACTATGAGGACATAATCCCGGTTCGAGGGAGGATACCAAACGGTTGCTATGCGTTGTTAGATCCTTAGTCTCTGGTA